AGACTTAATCAGACTCAGGTTCCAGGCCTATGGCACCTGTAAGTGATGTGCTGTTCACCACGAGATCCATCTTGTTTGGCCGTGTCTCTTTTTGTGATGTTAGCAACTGTTGGCATTCATTACCTAAATTAATCAATCACTGGGGGTCGAAAAATAGTGATTTGTAATTTGGTCTTTTTTTCCTCTTTTCATTCAGCAGGTGGGATATGTATAACATAATGCTCTCTCTTATCTCTTATTTGGCTATCAGTGATACAATTTGCTTAGGAAAAGTAGCATAAATGCTTCATTATTTCTCTTTATTTACTAGCTTTCTCAGTGAATAATTGGTGTCCTATTTAAAAAAACTATTATAAACACATGTATTCAAACATGTTTAATGGATTTCAATCAATTGCAACTATAATCCTTTTGGAAGCTCAAATTGCCCCATTTTTGTCAGTGGGAACCTCTTTGGGTTGGCTTCTGAAATCTTTAATAACCTAGTAGTTTTAGATAATATCCTTTCTATTTGGTGTGACAGAATGTTCCATGTTCATTTTAAATATTTACTGACTGAAGCCTAGAATCAGATTACAGCGTGGGCACTTGAAGTACCTTCCAGGGTTGGCCCTTCTTCCCAGGCCAACATCATCTGTCTACATAAGTACAGAGCTGGGGATGCAGACACATAGACATCATTGTGGCACTGTGCGTGTGCATGTGCGTGTGTGTGTGTGTGTGAGTGAATGTATGTATATTTTGGGAATACCTTGTCACCTAGTTTTTCTGTAGATGTCCCTGAGTTTTTAGTTTTGCCATCTAGTTGCTCTGTTTTTTTAATGCGAACATTTGGAGAGGTTAATAAAATTCACACACTGGGGCCTGTAGGGGGCTGAGGGATCCTAGGGGAGGGATAGCATTAGGAGAAATACCTAATACAGATGATAGTTTGATGGGTGAAGCAAACCACCATGGCACATGTATGCCTATGTAACAAACCTGCACATTCTGCACATGTATCCCAGACCTTGAAGTATAATAAAAAAAATTCTATCTATGTTAATTTAGAGTCAATTTGCAATGGCAGTCAACCAGTCTTCCTCAGTACCCAGCCAACTGCTACCTGAAGAATCACTGTTAGGTGCCATGTATATTGCATATGGAAATTCAAAGAAACAAATTCTTTCATAGAAATAGACCTTTTCCCAATTCTCTATTCTTTGCATCACATTCTGTTTCATTCATTCAGTGATTGGAGAGGGTCCCATTCATCCTTCCCTTACTACCCATCTTTATGTAGGCAGTTTACAAACAAAATCGAGTCCTGTGTTTCACAGAAAAGTTTACACTGATGGTTTATGTTATATACTAGGCTTGGGTCTGAATATACTGTGTCTGTATCTAATATTCAATTCCATACTCAAAATGAGATTTGGCACCATTGAGAAAGTATTGCCAAGAATGGTCTAAAAGGCCTGAAGAAAGTTCCCAAGTGGGACTTAGGTATTTTGGAGTAGTTACGCCTGTGCCCCCAGGGATTAATATTTTTTATCATAGAGAAGGGCAGTATTTTATTCTCAGGAGGATATAAAAATAAACTTTTCTTTTTCAGTGGCTCTAAGTCTTACTAAATTTGCAGCAGTAAGGACGATGATATTTAGCTATCTTTCCAAAGCAAATGATCTGAACTAGACACATTTCTTTAGGATCCCTTTCACAGAGTAAAATATTGGATGTTATGATAAGGTTCTATTTTATTATTAGGTGTTGAGACTTAATATAGAGGCCATTATATGTGTTGCCTCTATGTAATCAGAATAAAAAATACATATGTCACTTATTAAGCACCTATTTCAGGTGAATGTGGCCTCATTTTACCTCCCCAAACCCTAGAAGACAGGTGGCACTGGTAACATGTCAGTATCAGGTTTAAATTCAGTCATAGACACTCTGGTTATATTTTGAAATCTTGATTCTTTCAGAATAGTATTTGTTTGTCTTACTGTCTAATGCAGTAGTTCTCGATCCTGGCTTGGCAGTAGAACTACCTAGATTTTTCGCAATGCTGATATCCTAGTTCTGGTCTCTGACTTACTAGACTTGGGGCCAGTAACCAAGTTTTTTAAGACCTCACCCAGTGTTTCCTGTCTAGTTAGTTCATAAACTCATGATTGCTATTAAGTTTAGCTGGTTCCCATTAGCACAAACAGTAGGACTATTTCCTTTAAAGCCTAGTTTAAAAGAAACTAGCACGAACTATGAAAACTAAATAATAACATACATTAATACCAGTTCTATTGAGCCTGGCATCAACATGTAAATTTAACCAAAAGAACAAAACAGAGATTAAAACCACAGATCCAGAACTTGAACTAGGATCCCTAATGGAGATTAATATTTTCTTCAGCAGTCTGCCAGCTGAATCATTGTCTAATTAAATAGTTCAGATTTAGTGAGTTTGCATTTAAAGTATTAGCAGATCTGAGAATGGGTAAAGCTAAAATGAGTTAGAATCATTTCTGCAAATGGGAAGTTAAATTATCATAGTAATTTGATTAAATCATTTTTAAATCTCTCATGCTAAATCACAGCCTTTAAAGAATAGTTTGAAGTCTTAATTGCTGTTTGTGAGCATATCTCTCTGCTATTTGTTCTCGCCTCATTTCCCCTGACATCCTATAATATATCTCCTGCCGGGCAAGAGTAGTGGGAAAGGCAAGACTAGGGGTAGGTAACTGTGTAGCTGACTTCAAGCATTTAAAGATATGCCATGTAGGAAAAAGAAGTTTATCCCGTATTGTTCCTACTAGAACAGGACCACAGGATAGAATTTGGAGACATATTTAGGAAAATTTTAAAAAGACAATAATTAGTTTTGCCTGTTGTCAAGGAGAATCTACGTACTTAATATACGCCTGGCAATGTCTTCATTAGGAATGTTATAAAGATGGCTGATGAAGATGGGAGTTTGAATGGGATGTGTTTAGAGAACAGTCCATCTCATTTTTTAAGGGAATGCATGTTTAGTGTTCTGTATTCCAGCAGCATGATTGATTTGAAGAATCCTGAATTTAAACCTGAGACTGACATGTATTACCAGTGCCACCTGTCTTCTAGGGTTTGGGGAGGTAAAATGAGGCCATGTTCACCGGAAATAGGTGCTAAATAACTGGTAAATGTATTATTTTTATTCTGGTGTGTTTTAGTCTAGTTGGAAAATAGGTATTTCAAGGTTGACTTTTCACTGCAGTGTGTAATTCCCATTTTCTCCTTCCATCTATTCCTGTTTTCCTGTAGAGAGCTAATCATTAGACTCCGGATAAGTTGGGAAAGTCCAACTCATCTCTGCTCCCTCATGCACAAGGTCCTTATTGCAGTCTTTTGTCTACCTAAAGACTCGCCATAGTGATTCCCCATGCCCCCCATTTTTCCTTCAGGTAGCAATAAAGTGCAAAACTAGAGAGAAAGAATATCAGAGCATGTTGCCATCATCTCTATGACTGTGTTTTCTGTCCCTAACTTCACCAACTCTTAGACAACTTTAGAAATTATGTTTGTTTGTTTCTAAGAGCACTATAGGAGGTGGATGAGATTGCCATGCTGAGAGGAACCAGACTGGAGAGAAGCTGGGTAGAAACAATCCCCAGGGAAAGGCCAAGCGTATGTTGGGGAGTGACCTGAGTCTTGCTCCAGGGCACTACTATCAACACTATTTCCCACTTGGAAGAATTCCTTCCTTTTTGCTCTGCCAGGCAGAAATTGAGTGTTGAGCAATAAGCAACTTTATTCCAGATTATTCAAAAAATTTTTACGGAGTTGTCATTAAACTACCTATTGTGAATAGTGGTCAGTTCACCAACGATGTGACCACTAATGACTCAAATGCCAATGTAAAGGAAAAAAAGAACATTGAATAAAATACAAATACATCTTTAAGATCTGTTCCTAGTTATATCCATCTCTCTTTTAATTACTTTGCCATATTTCTTATTATATGTTTAGCCACTTGATTTTAAATTACATTCCCTCTTTTTGTTCATGTGATCTATGTTTGAATTATATGAAAGATTAGGCTAACTACATATATCTTAGAGCTCAGCATTCTCAGAGAACTAGAATTATTAAACATGAAGAATCCCCCAAAGACTCCATTATGTGTAATTAACAGATAAACTGTCATCAGAATCAATAAAACGTGCTAAATGATTCAAACTTGTATATAATTAAGTGTCTGCTTTAGAGCTGGAGCTGTAACTTTTATTTTTTTCCCCACATCTCACATTTCTCACAAGAATAATTGTGGCAACCTTGTTAACCCTTTCTTTGCTTGATTGAATTAGATTTTCAAATTTGTCATTTAAGGGTAAAGTTCACCTTTACAAATGTGAAAAATATTTCAGAACTCAGTGATCTGAAGATACCATTTGTTTTTAATCAGGGAAGCAGACTATGTCAGGATGCTTTAATGAACTGATACTAGAACATTAAATATCTTAAAAGGATAAATAATTTATTGTGATTTCTGTATAGTGCTAGATTCCATGCATTCACATGGAGTTCTTAGGATCTTAGTCATCAACTTTTTTCCTCCTTTTTGGGAAATATTGGCTTTTTGCAAGCAATATCATAATTTTAAACAACCTTCCCCTACACAGCACTAAGAATAATACTTTTAATAGATGGCCTTCCATGGTTGTTTGTTGAGTGAATGAATATATACCTGGATGAGGCAATGAATAAAATAGTCAAGATTATAATATGTTAGAAGAAAGCCTTCTCTTGCTCAGCCTGAAGAGGAAAAATACACATTTTAAATAATTGATCTTTTCTAATAATTCCCATCTTCCACGTTAGTATTTGAAATTATGTAAGGAAATGTAGAAATAGGTTGTAGAAATGTGAGACTCTGAACAGATCAGTTTCAAACTTAGAAGTTCAAAAATAACTAATTTTGTAACTCTAGACTATATGGGTTTGTTATTAATGTGATGACTTATATCTTTTGCTTCATTGCGCAGACTCCATGCACATAGAAGATGTTGAAGCCGTTCAAAAGCTTCAGGATGTCTTACATGAGGCGCTACAGGATTATGAAGCTGGCCAGCACATGGAAGACCCTCGTCGAGCTGGCAAGATGCTGATGACACTGCCGCTCCTGAGGCAGACCTCTACCAAGGCCGTGCAGCATTTCTACAACATCAAACTAGAAGGCAAAGTCCCCATGCACAAACTTTTTTTGGAAATGCTGGAGGCCAAGGTCTGACTAAAAGCTCCCTGGGCCTTCCCATCCTGCACGTTGAAAAAGGGAAAATAAACCCAAGAGTGATGTCGAAGAAACTTAGAGTTTAGTTAACAACATCAAAAATCAACAGACTGCACTGATAATTTAGCAGCAAGACTATGAAGCAGCTTTCAGATTCCTCCGTAGCTTCCTGATGAGTTTCTTTCTACTTTCCTCTATCATCTTTTCTTTCTTCCCACATTTCACCTCCTCTTTGTTCTTTCTCTTTCTTCTTTCCCCCTCCATTATTTCTTGGGTTCTTTCATTCCTAGTTCCCATCTCCCTTATTTTCCTTTCATCCACCTGTCTGCCTTCTTTCTTTTCTTTGCCTACTCTCTTCCCTCTCTTTCCTCATCCTCCCTCTTTGTTCTAAATTTTAAATAGTTTTAGTTGTTTAAAAAAAAATTCCCTCCTTCCCTTTCCTTTCCCCTTTCTTTTCCTTTCTTCCTGACCTTCTTTCTATTCTTTTTCTTCCTTCTGCTGCTGAACTTTTAAAAGAGGTCTCTTAACTGAAGAGAGATGGAAGCCAGCCCTGCCAAAGGATGGAGATCCATAATATGGATGCCAGTGAACTTATTGTGAACCATACCGTCCCCAATGACTAAGGAATCAAAGAAAGAGAACCAACGTACCTAAAAGTACAGTGCAACATACACGAATTGACTGAGTGCAGTATTAGATTTCATGGGAGCAGCCTCTAATTAGACAACTTAAGCAACGTTGCATCGGCTGCTTCTTATCATTGCTTTTCCATCTAGATCAGTTACAGCCATTTGATTCCTTAATTGTTTTTTCAAGTCTTCCAGGTATTTGTTAGTTTAGCTACTATGTAACTTTTTCAGGGAATAGTTTAAGCTTTATTCATTCATGCAATACTAAAGAGAAATAAGAATACTGCAATTTTGTGCTGGCTTTGAACAAATATGAACAATAATGAAGGACAAATGAATCCTGAAGGAAGATTTTTAAAAATGTTTTGTTTCTTCTTACAAATGGAGATTTTTTTGTACCAGCTTTACCACTTTTCAGCCATTTATTAATATGGGAATTTAACTTACTCAAGCAATAGTTGAAGGGAAGGTGCATATTATCACGGATGCAATTTATGTTGTGTGCCAGTCTGGTCCCAAACATCAATTTCTTAACATGAGCTCCAGTTTACCTAAATATTCACTGACACAAAGGATTAGATTACACCTACAGTGACTCTGAGTAGTCACATATATAAGCACTGCACATGGGATATAGATCCGTAGAATTATCAGGAGTGCACCTCTCTACTTGGGAGGTACAGTTGCCATATGATTTCTAGCTGCCACGGTGGTTAGGAATCAGATACTGCCTGTTTGCAAAGTTACAGACCTTGTCTCAGAAGGAGCTGTGAGCCAGTATTTATTTAAGAGGCAATAAGGCAAATGCCAGAATTAAAAAAAAAAAAAATCGTCAAAGACAGCAAATGCCTGACCAAATTCTAAAATCTAATCCATATAAGTTTATTCATTTAGGAATGTTTGTTTAAATTAATCTGCAGTTTTTACCAAGAGCTAAGCCAATATATGTGCTTTTCAACCAGTATTGTCACAGCATGAAAGTCAGTCAGGTTCCAGACTGTTAGGAGGTGTAATCTAATGAAGAAATCAATTAGATGCCCCGAAATCTACAGTCGCTGAATAACCAATAAACAGTAACCTCCATCAAATGCTATACCAATGGACCAGTGTTAGTAGCTGCTCCCTGTACTATGTGAACAGTCTTATTCTATGTACACAGATGTAATTAAAATTGTAATCCTAACAAACAAAAGAAATGTAGTTCAGCTTTTCAATGTTTCATGTTTGCTGTGCTTTTCTGAATTTTATGTTGCATTCAAAGACTGTTGTCTTGTTCTTGTGGTGTTTGGATTCTTGTGGTGTGTGCTTTTAGACACAGGGTAGAATTAGAGACAATATTGGATGTACAATTCCTCAGGAGACTACAGTAGTATATTCTATTCCTTACCAGTAATAAGGTTCTTCCTAATAATAATTAAGAGATTGAAACTCCAAACAAGTATTCATTATGAACAGATACACATCAAAATCATAATATTTTCAAAACAAGGAATAATTTCTCTAATGGTTTATTATAGAATACCAATGTATAGCTTAGAAATAAACTTTCAATATTTCGAGAATATAGATAAGTCTAATTTTTAAATGCTGTATATATGGCTTTCACTCAATCATCTCTCAGATGTTGTTATTAACTCGCTCTGTGTTGTTGCAAAACTTTTTGGTGCAGATTCGTTTCCAAAACTATTGCTACTTTGTGTGCTTTAAACAAAATACCTTGGGTTGATGAAACATCAACCCAGTGCTAGGAATACTGTGTATCTATCATTAGCTATATGGGACTATATTGTAGATTGTGGTTTCTCAGTAGAGAAGTGACTGTAGTGTGATTCTAGATAAATCATCATTAGCAATTCATTCAGATGGTCAATAACTTGAAATTTATAGCTGTGATAGGAGTTCAGAAATTGGCACATCCCTTTAAAAATAACAACAGAAAATACAACTCCTGGGAAAAAAGGTGCTGATTCTATAAGATTATTTATATATGTAAGTGTTTAAAAAGATTATTTTCCAGAAAGTTTGTGCAGGGTTTAAGTTGCTACTATTCAACTACACTATATATAAATGAAATATATACAATATATACATTATTTTCACTGTATCACATTAAAGTACTTGGGCTTCAGACTTCAGAGCCAACCAACTGAAAACAGGAGATGGAGATGTGTTCAAACAACGAGATACAATTTTTAAAGTTTTCAGTTTAAGTAACTCTCAGCATTGCAAAAGACTAAGTATCTCACAAATAGGAAATAAAACTAAAACGTAGATTTAAAAGAACTGCACGGGCTTTAGGGTAAATGCTCATCTTAAACCTCACTAGAGAGAAGTCTTTTCAAGTTTTAAGCAAGACCATTTACTTAATGTGACGTTTTGGAAAGTTATAAAGGTGTATGTTTTAGCCATATGATTTTAATTTTAATTTTGCTTCTTTTAGGTTCGTTCTTATTTAAAGCAATATGATTGTGTGACTCCTTGTAGTTACACTTGTGTTTCAATCAGATCAGATTGTTGTATTTATTCCACTATTTTGCATTTAAATGATAACATAAAAGATATAAAAAATTTAAAACTGCTATTTTTCTTATAGAAGAGAAAATGGGTGTTGGTGATTGTATTTTAATTATTTAAGCGTCTCTGTTTACCTGCCTAGGAAAACATTTTATGGCAGTCTTATGTGCAAAGATCGTAAAAGGACAAAAAATTTAAACTGCTTATAATAATCCAGGAGTTGCATTATAGCCAGTAGTAAAAATAATAATAATAAAACCATGTCTATAGCTGTAGATGGGCTTCACATCTGTAAAGCAATCAATTGTATATTTTTGTGATGTGTACCATACTGTGTGCTCCAGCAAATGTCCATTTGTGTAAATGTATTTATTTTATATTGTATATATTGTTAAATGCAAAAAGGAGATATGATTCTGTAACTCCAATCAGTTCAGATGTGTAACTCAAATTATTATGCCTTTCAGGATGACGGTAGAGCAATATTAAAGAAGCTTCCACTTTTGACTGCTCTTTTGTATTGTGTTTCTTTTTTTCCCCCCCTAAGGGACCAAATCAATAAACACTGCCCTTTGTTGCTTTCATTCAAAGAGTATCGCCGAGTACCTGTTTCCTAAAAATAAAGTCGGAGTTTAAATAAGTGCTATATAAAGGCTTGTCAGAATGAATTCTAGGGTGCCGAGAGACATTTTGCATATTTAAGAGTATGCAAAGTGTCTCATGGCACATTAGAATTCATTCTGACAAGCCTTTATATAGCTCTTATTTAATCTTAAAGCATCTCCACATCATTCTGCATTACTCAAAATCATCACCTCTATGTCAATGTCATAACAGAAAACTCTCCCCCTATTTTAAGATCATATTAAAACCTGCTAGAGATACCCATTATTTCCCTCTATCAACAATTAAATCATGCGCTTGCTCCAAGCTCTTCGGCAAGCTGCAGGCTGTGTGGAGCAGCAGTGGAGTTGCTGACCAGATTTCCTTAACGGGAAGTCAACAAGCAGAGCTTAGAGATCCGTGTGAATTAGGAGCAGGAGCTGTCTTCGAATTCAAGAGGGTTAAACAGCACTGCTGACAGCAAATGGCCTCCTCTTGCCTTTTACACTCAGAGAGGTTACAGCCCTTGCTGCGCAGGGTCAAGTTGTAGCTTCCACTGGACCCTCCTGGAGCCATCACAGAAGTGCTAATATGTGCTTTCTTGGCTTCTCTGCCTATCTAGAGGGTGTTTTGTCATTGTGTTTGCCCACCGCATTTCTCACCTTTCAGAGGTGGTTGGTTCTCTGGAGAAGCAAGCTGATGACACAAAGGTCACTAAACTGAATTGGTTTTAGGGGCACAAGATTACCTAAATCACTGAGATGCACTAGCTACCAAGATAGCTCAGTATTGTGTTTTTTATATTTTAATGTCTTTTGAGTGGCAACAGTTCAACCTAAAATCTGACATGTTTTACTTTTGATATGTTTTAAGTGCTTGGCTGGGACTGAAACAATACAAGATACAAACCTAAAAGGAAAAATCGTGTCTTAATCTTCCAGTGAGGTCCTCATTGTAAAATATGTTAGACACTCTCCTCTCTCTCTCTCTAAGAATTCCTATTAGAATTATCTTGCTGTTCTTATAATTTAGAATTATTACAGGACAACTTTTCCGGTATCATGGCTGCCTCAGGTGTAAAAGAAAACGAAGTAGGATTTTGACCTTTTGGCATGCTGTTTCTGGATATATAAGCAAGTACCTCTGACAAATGCATTATATGTTTGTTTTAAGGGGTCACTTCTGTTTTCACCAGTTGCTTACAAACTATTTATTTTTAAGCCAGTGGTCCCCAGATTTGTCTGCATATTAAAATCACCTGGGGAGTGTCAAAACTCTTAATACTCACATTCCACCCACAGGGATTGTGGTTTCCTTGATCCATGATGCGGCCTGGGGTTTTGGAATGCTTAGAAAAGATCTCCAAGTGATTCCAACATGAAGACAAATGGAGAAACACTGCCTCTAAATGTTTACGCTTTTCTCAAATAAACCAAAAATAATAAACTTTTTAATATTGGCTCTGAATTCTTGTTAGGGTTTTAGATTTTTTTTAAATAACAAGACAAAAATACTTAACTTTTTTTTCTTACAAAACCAATGAAACACACTTTGATTATTTTGACCTCCATAAAACAAACGGAAAATACATTTTATTTGATGACTCCCAGGCCACCTCTTCCGGTTATATCTCCTTATAAAGATGGAGATGGATGGCTGCTCAAAACTTGTTTGCAGAATATCTCACAACTTTTTAAATCCTGTTCATTTGGCTTATTAATGTGCATTAGAATTAATTTAGGTGGGATCCAAAATACATGTCCTTCCCTATTGACAAACAAAAGAGCAACAAAATAAGAAAAATCCGATTTCTTGGAAGGACTTATCTTATTTTCAAGTTGTTGATTTAGGTGAGAGGTAGAAATGAGATAGACTATTTTATCCTCGGGCCTCTGCAAAAAACTTTAGATGCACTTTGATTACAAAATTTAATTTGTGATTAACTTGTAAAAGAAAAGAGAGCTATGCTTACGGTTTTTGTTTTATCCACAATGGTTTACATACTGAATGGATAGCACCATAGACCAGTAGATAAGAACATGTGTAAGTCTGGGCACCTGGCCTTTCAAATCTCCACATCTAGCTTTTCATGCCCCCTGGCAGTGTGGAAAAAACAAAATGAAACAAGTAACTGTAGATTGATTGTGTATTCCATCTTCTTATAAAACAAATAGAAAAGAAAGGAATTTCAAAATATAATCCTGGTTTCCCAGGAGTATTTGTCTTGTTCCTCATGAAGTTAAAGGTCTGAAATAATGTGACCATCAGGGGCTCAATGTTGCATATCCATGCCAGTTGGTCCAAGGGCTTGTTATGATGGTAATGACCTACTGAAACGTGAGCTTGGATTGCACAATACAATTGCTACCAGCTCACCCGCTGGGAGAAATATTTTATTATTGTCAAATATCCTCCATCGAGATTTGTTTTGCCTTTTTCTGTTTAAATTAAATTCAAAGCAGAACTACATTACTATTTCTCTGGAGTATATTTCAGATAAACAATTAGTCTCAAATTTTAGGATTCCTGGCTAGTTCAAATTTGTTTATTAGCAGAAAAATTACAATAAGCGACACCATAGCTGCAGGAATATTGTGATTGCAGCAACACAAGAGATTTATGTACTGAGTCTATGGCCTCAAAGCAAGAACTCCCTTTTTCATTACAGATGCCAGCCAGATTAATAATTAGCCATTTCATCTACTGTACAGTCTTTTAAAAAAAGTATCAATATAGTCATATATTGCCATAGCATGTCACAGAATTTCCAACATGAGAAACTTTGCTCCAAGTAAGAAGTATTTTTTGATTTATCACAAACCAAAAGTGTATATGTGTGTACTTTAAAAAGAAACACAGTGAACATGGCAGAGCCCATGAATGAAAATGCTCTTTAACCATAATATATATTTAACAGTATTATCTTTTCAAAGAACTGAAAACAGGCTGGGCACAGTGGCCCATTCCTGTAATCCTGCTCTTTGGGAAGCAGAGGTGGGAGAATCACTTGACTTCAGGAGTTCAAGGCCAGACTGGGCAACAGTGTGAGACCCCAACCCACAAAAGACTAAAGTTAAAAAAAAAAAAAAAGAATTGAAAACAACGTCTTTGAGTATATGGGATTATTTGGATAATTTTGCCAGAAGCCCTATATCATACCTCTGATGAAGGATTCTGAAACGGTGAAGCTTTAGACTACAAATTTTGTTGAATGCAATCAAACGAGAAATGGACTTTACTGTGAGAAAATAAAAGAAGGATTAGCATGGTAAAAATAATAGTGGCCTGTATGTTTCACAATGGGCTGAAGTTTGGGGAGAGGATTTTAGATAATGCAAACAAACTTTTGGGAGGGGTTGCTAAAAGGGCCTAATAGGAAAACATTTCAGACTAGCAGGAGCATTAAATCACACTATTCACACTCAAATTCAATCTGCCATGCTCAGTCGAATTTCACAGTTTTGTTGGGAAGTGAAGAACTGTCTGCTGTTTTAAAAAAGCAGCACAGAAAGCTAAAGTCATAAGAGCACTTTCTGAAATGAGGTCTACAGCCATGCAAGTGTTGACTTTTTCCCTTAAAATATGGGATTTATTATATTTTAACGTCGTGTAGGTTTGTTACATAGGTATACATGCGCCATTGGTGTTGGTTTGCTGCATCCATCGCTCCGTCATCTACATTAGATTTTATATCATTACAAATGAAGAATTCTAGACATTAACGTTAAAACCATTTTGCAGGTATTTTGGTAACAATCTCTCAGATATTCTTTATTTCCACTAGACTTTTATTTTGCCTGGGTCTTCCTTTTGTACTCAGAATGAATTGGCCATTCGTAATGTACCAAATTTGTTCGTGCTTATAAATCAAAAGACTTGTAGCCTATATTTTTAACTGTACATAGAGGGGAAAAAGTCACTTTCTCCACAGAAATAAGTTTGTAGTTCAGAGTTATTTCTGGGCTGGTTAGTAAGTAAACAGATGTTTAACATGAGTATGTTTTTATACACAAGGAATTCTATGACACGTGACTTACTTGTCTGGGTTTAATAAGATTTGGTGGTGCTGTGATAAAGAGTAACAGTACACCATACTGGTTACATGCATAAACTTTGAGTTTGTAATGTACAGGTTCAAATCCAACTCTGCCACTACCTAGCTGTGTGGTATTATTACTATTTAAGTATATTCTGCTTAGATAAATGGGGATAAATATACCATTGAAGGATTATTATTAGGATTAAATTTGATAATTTAGGGAAATAATTTGTATCTATTTTAAAAGTTCAATATGTTGAAAATGTAATTTCTTTCTTCCTCTTTAAGTCTTTACCAAGCGAGGCTAGATAAGACTGCAGGATAATCAAGGTGGGAGAAAAAGTCTTTTGGATAGGAGGAAAACGCAGGTGTTTGGGATGCAGGTGCATAGGAAGCTGCTTTGGGGAACTTCTCTTGAGTGGAATTAAAGTAGTGTAGAATCAGGGTGTACTTGATACTGCACAATGCAGTTTCAGTCAGAAACCAGTCATGGGCCTAACTCTTGTGCTGGACACCACGTTAAGTTCTTTAAATACAACATACAATTTAATATTCCCAATTTCTTTATGTGGGAAATGTCATTAATCTCTCCATTTTATAGATGAAGAAAAGGAGTCTCTGAGAAGTTAAATAACTTGCTCAAGGACCAAATAATTCATACACAAGTCAGCTAAATCTGAATGTACCTTTTCTAGCTCCTGAACCTCATATCTTAAAACACTAAACAGTTTCTTGAAACTGAATGATGACTTTTTTATTTTAAATTTTGAATAGGGGGAATGCAGAGTGAATTAATTCTGTTGCTTAGATTAAGGAATACTATCTCATTCCCTCTTGTCTCTTTCATTTCTACGACGCTTCCTTG